CTGCTGGTTAAGTGAGTGTTAGAATGAAAATGCTCCTAAAAATGAGTTATTTGAATTATTGGTTGACCAAATTGCGATGCACACCAAAAACGCACCATGAGCGCCTGCAGAATCGATACGGGAACCCCCTGTTAGGGATTTTTTTGTGTATTTCTTAGATTACTGGGATTTTTTGATTTATTTCAGTAAAATGAGAAACGTATATATTTTTTGGATCATGCTTTTAAAATAAGTTTTTCAACGTATTTTTTGATCTTAAGGGTTTTTTTTTTGTCCAAACTGGTGCCTCATCGTAGTGTGGGAATGTCATCGTTCAGGATTAGTTTATGCTTACTAATGCATGGCAGAAGGGCTAAACCTTGCCAAGTGCTTGTTTCAGGCTTACTTTTGAGCTGTTAGTGCTTTCTAGAAAGAAACAGAAGGTCAGAAATCGGCAGCGTACCACATCCACTAAACTATGAAGCATTACTCGGAGAAACTGGATTTGCTAGCTGGAAACCAGGCTATGAACTGGTGCTGATCTAGATATCAATATCATAATATCTAAATATGAATACCAATATTTATATTGCATACCAAACGAATTGATAGTTTTGATCAGATCGTTAAGTGACAGTTCATGAGAGATGGGAAATATGCATGCAACCCAAGCACGGGAAATTGCTGATCCTTAGTAATAATTACTGCAGATCACTGGTGCTCTCAATGAATGAAATGCGTCCACTGTGGATTAAGTATGCATCATTGTGTCGACAGCAAGGAAAATTATCGATGTCTCGACAGATTCTGACAAATCTGCTAGGCTTGAAAAGAAATGAAGAAATCCAGAATGCCCTTAATTTACCCCTGGATAAGCCTTCATTGGTGCTAGCTGTTTGCAAGCAGTTCTGGGCCGAAAAGCGAACGGATTTGGCTTGCAATACTCTTGAGGCTTTGGTTAATAGTCTTGAAGTGCAAAAGGTAAACTATAGTTTTTCATTTTTCACATTCTTTTTTTTTTGTCTTCAAACGCAAACTTGAAGTCTTAAAGCAAACTTGAAGCAAGAACTCTTAAAACGCTAAAGATAAACTGTATTTTTTCATGTAATTCAATAGAGAGCTGTGATTTTTCGTTTCAAGACACTTAACTTTAGATATTTTGGTCTTAATAAGTCGACTTGTTTGAGCTATGTTGCGTTCATTAAATTTTTATTCATAAACTAAAACGACCAACTTAAGTTAGATTTGTCATTCTTCCTAAATTGCTCCAGACATTCGGGTTAATGGATCGCCCTAGCCCGTTGGCTTGATTTCTGTTGTTCTTTAACGCATCGTTGACACAGTTCAGGGGCTGTTCCTTTCATAGTCTATTATTTGTCGTCCTTGTCACTTGATCAGCCGAGCTTTTCTACTGTTCTTGTTCAATAGATTTAGATTTGTAAGTTAAAATCTCCTAACAAAAATCTGGATCTCCAGTGAAAACATCCTGCCAAGATTTTCCACCTGAAGTTGCCATTATTAATTTATCACTGAAACGATTCATTAAAAAGACTGATTTCTTGGGGCTAGATTTCAGCTGACTATTATCCGACTTTGAGTATAATTACTCAGTAAAATTATATGAAAAGCTCAAAACAGAGAAGTCTGTAAAAGATGCCAACTGTATCAGTGGTGGAAAGAAACGCTACACTGAGACAGCAATTTATCATAGCATCAAAAACTAATTAGTCCCGTGAGAATTCTTTTATTTTTTGCAGATGGAAATCAAGACAAGCTCCAAACTGTGTCGATTAGCAGCAAAATGTTGCTTGAAATTGGGTGATTGGTACGATACACTACTACCACAGTCGACAAGTGAACAACAGCTGCAGCAGCAGCAGCACCGCGACATGCGTGAAACATCACCAGCTGTTAATCTGGTTGATATAATCAATGTACCACAGGCATTTGTCAGGGGCAGTCAGGCCCAGCTATCGCCTAAACCAGCCGTTTTAGCCTCATCAGCCCCGCTCATCGTACAGTTTCCTGGGCCATCACCCAACGATTTACAACAACAGCAACCGCAAGCAACTATAACTCAGGCAATGCGATTTTACGCCGATGCGACAGCTTATGATTCGAACTGGTATAAAGCATGGCATAAGCTAGCTTCTGCCTATTATAATGCTGCTATGTATCAGTCACAGAGTACTGTGAGTTATGCTTTTTTTGCCTTTTTTTTTTAAAATTTTTTTATGAGCCTATCACTGGGAAAACCATCAGTGAGATAGAAAGACCCCGTGATACGTCTGCACGTTATCACGTGGATTTGAAGAGCGCAACAACGAATCGAATGGAGAAGTTGCCAGTGTTGCATCGATGGCCTGACAACGGACATCGATGACATACAGCTGCTCAAGCATTCAAGTATGAGCCTATTTTGGTGTTTCCCGATCC